CGTAAATAAATGAAATGATTTTCTAAATTGTACATTATTATTTGTCCTAATCTTTTACACTAATTAATACACTAAATATCAAACTTATTTATTAGTTTTTATTTCCCGAAAAGAAAGATAGATTATTGTAATTTTTTTATTAAAATTTTCCTCAACTTGCAATTTAATTAAAGATGATATTTCTATTCTTCAAACCTTTGACAATCTTGTGCGAATATACTTTAGATGTCTTTAATGTTTCAGAAAACTACAGTAATTAATTAAATGAATTCATAACAGTCTTGTTAATTCTAATTTAACATTGTGATAATAAACGAGAAACATAATTTCTTTTAAAATAAATAAAGATTTTGTATACATATTATTTTTATCACGGAAAATAGATTTTTATTTTGTTATAATTTACGGTTCGATTATCGTAGCTCAAATATTTTTCTATATTTTTCAAACAAGTCTCGTACAAACAATCCAACAAATGGAAAGCGTGTTATCTGATCCACTTCTCTATTTAAGTTCTATTACCATCGATCCACCGGGGAGTATTAACGAAAAAGGGAAGCTGGAATGACCTTCTCTTGCACGAAACCGATTCGCAAAGAAGGCGGTAAGCGTAATGTGTAATCTAGCTGCCGAACGTAAATCCGTTCCTCAGGTGCATACGTCGCTTTCTCTAATCTCTGCAACGGGCACCACACGCCATCCCCGTCGACTCTTCCAACGTTGGAAAAGCAGTAAAACAGTCGGCCGGTCGGCCGTCCTCCATCGCGCCGCTCTTATCCTTTTCAGACGAACAATGTCTACAACCACGATGGTGAGGCCGAGCGTAAAACGTTCGCCAAGTAAAATCGCGTGCGTGTGTCTGTCTGGCTGTGTGTGTGTGTGTGTGTGTGTGTGTGTGTGTGTGTGTGTGTGTGTGTGTTGTATGTGTGCTATGCGCCCGTAACGTGCACAGTGCGAGTACGGTTAAGGGAGTTAACGGTGTCGTGTTACATGTATGCTCGCGGATACTCGCGCTGTCTGACTGCGGTAAGTTTCTGGCGGGTGTTTGTGAGCCACGGCGGGACTGCCCTCGTAGACGAACTTGTCGGATATCTACGACTTTCGAAAGCTCGTTAGCCGCGAGCGTGCACGCTTAAACGGCCGCTAAATTGAAATCGATCCTCGGCCGCCCCGCATCGATCGCCGCGGCCTCGACGATTGGCGCAAATATATTCACTTCCATCTGCCGCGTGTAGCCGCGATGGAGTACCTAGTACAAGGGTGCACGCGACAATTGCACCCGAATGAGTTCGGTCACACTCATTGCAACTCGGTTCCCCAGAATCGTCGAAATGGAAACGGATAGACTCGGAACGGAAGATCGAGCTTTAACTCGTACAACACACTCGAATGCACATATACGTGTATTTCCCCTGTCGCGAAAAGTACGAATATTATTTAGATTATTTATCATAACATATGTAATCGATTTTTCGTTACGTAAACACAAATGTGTTTCCATTTCTCGTTTAATGACAATTGAGAACGTGAAATCAAATTATTAGTATTTCGTTCACGATTTAATATATCGCGACGTGTTACAAACAAAATCAAATGAACACAATGTCGTGATTGTGGATCGTTTCAAATCACCCACAGCGCAGGAGAATATTTTCACACTGAATACTTTCATAAACTTCAGATTGTACTGACTGTTGGTTCCGAAATGACGAGTCAGCGCGAGCACGATCATGCAAATAAAATAATGCACCAAGTTATGAGGCATTAATGATGGTATAGCGTGTCTCACAGGTCGTGGAACGCGGTGCCAAGATCATGAAGGTAAAGTTGCTTTTACAATGGAATCACTGACACGCAAAGTATCTTGGTCGCACGTTCTTACATCGCATGTCTTTGTCAGAAGAATTGACTAGCTCCTCATCTTTCATAATACGAAGTCGATACGTCGTAATTCGTGACACGCAGTTTATGAATATTACAAATATTCTTGAAAGAACTCGATATCTCAAAAATAAGACCTATTTCATATATATATATATATATATATATATATATATATATATATATGTGTAAATTATTATGTCATATATGTATATATTTCATATTTGTGTATATTGAAAAAATATAATTTTTTTATAATTTATAATAATTTTATAATTTATTATAATTTATAAATATTTTTATAATTTATAATAATTTATAAGGTCTATATTCTACTTATAAAGATAAAGAAAATAAATGCATCACTATAACTTTTTATAGAATCGTTTGATCAATTTGGATATTGTCAATGTTAAATGTTACACTTATTTTTACAAAGTAAGCGTTTTTTATGGAAATGTTTCATAAAAATAAATCGTGCGATTTTAAACTTGCATTATATATTAGTAATTAATACATAATGTGATCGATAAGGTAGTATTATGTCTTAAAAACTCAAATCAATTCTTCTTCTTTATCAATCAATTCTTTATTATAATTTTTTTTTCATGAAACTTTTAAATATCTTATCTTTTTATAAAATTCTATATCAGAATACGAGTTACTTTAGTTTATAATTTCATTAATTTTTCCTTTTTATTTTTTTTTCACTATTAAATTTATTAATCTGGCTTCTAAAAATTTTTTCTAAAAATTCACATTGTGAAGATTTCTTTTCGAATTGGACAAATCTTATTGAAATTTTAATAGACTTTGACTATGAAAACATACTCGATATTTGTATATACCTCAAGAAAAGATTCTGTGGATGTTTCCAATTCAAAAGGAAATCTCGATATTTTTGAAAGATTTTTTGAGATGATAATAACAAGATCGTTACATATCGTACTCTTTGCGTTTGCATGCGTACCGCGTACGCGTATGACTGCACGTATAGTTTCGCTAAGCTGTGTACGCGCGAAAATTGCAATTGCATCGCGTTTGCGCTTCGTCGCCCTCGTGTTTGAATCGCGCCTGATAGTAAACAGAGATATATCTTGCATCTTCTCTCCGTAGTCCGTTCGGCTCACCGCGGACAAGTCGCGTAAGTCGCGGACGCGCACGGAACGGGCAGCACGCAGGCGCCTGCTTGGTTGGCGGCAAAGCGGAACCGCGTCGCGGCGGTACGCGTCGCGACGCCCGGCGTTTATTCCTCAGTTGACGTAGCCGCGTCGTCGACGTAGCAACATGCTCCCCGTTCTCGCGATCTCGGTGTTCTGCGTCGCGACATGGGTATCCGCGCTGAACGATCCGTCATCAGGTAAAATAATTTCACCGAACCATCTCCGGCAGACGCACGATCCCCCTGCACCGCTCTGCACGATCCGAACAGCGTTGCACACATTATGCAGTTATGCGATTTATCATCCCTCCTCCCAATGAATTCCGTCTTAGCCTCTGATTGCCGCTGCGACCGTGATTCGCGACCACACGTCGCTCGCGGTCGACCATCGCTCGCGGTCGAAGAGCCACCACGATCGAAATCCTCGTGAGCGACAAAGGGAAAAAAGGGGTAGCTCTCGTTGCATTGTTTTTATGACTGTTCCGCACGAGGTCCGCGTATTTAACCGCGCGTTTTCTCTCTCTCCCTCTCGCGAGATATTTCTCCCCGACGAGATTTTATGGTTCGACTTTTACGATTGCAGTTTGTTTATTACGTGGATGATAAAAGTCAGTAGGTGATTACGAGCCGGTCGTAATTTAAAAGAACGAGATTGGCCCACGATCGAGTCGCCCTATCACGCCCGGCGTTACATCGTTTCCCGTTGCGTCGCGTCGCGTCGCGCCGTCGCCAGGAGCTCTACTCTACGATCCCGCGGGAACGATCGTAACGCGGTATTGCAAGGCGAATTTACGTTATTCTATTGGTCGCGATCGTGGGATACGCTATCCGATCGTAAAATTCTCTTCGCGATGAGTTCCAAACCACAAACAGCCGAGAGTCTTCGCTCAATTTTCTTCGCTACGGCGTTGATCTTTCGAATCAATATTACTGATTGAGACGAAAAGTGTCTCGCATTTTCGAAAGTTTTCGTATCGATCGCGGGCATCAGTCAGCTCGTGTCTGTCGTAAACGGTAAGCGGGAGTAACCCGAAAATAGATGCAACCAAATGGGAACGCATAAAATCGGCGTTATGCCATCTCACTGTCTGTATTATTCTTTCCCCGATATCCACCTCCTTCTTCTTCCCATTTCCTCTTGGTCGCGCCAAACCCCCCGCCGCAATCACCCCTATGCGAATCGTGGCAAGTATAAATTATCACGGCGGAAGTTAGTCCAGTGAACTCCCCTTATCCTTTCGCGTGATAATAATTATTCTCTCTTTCTTGGGCCGGCCGGGTTGGGAAATGGGTTCTTTAGCCGTCGGACAGGACACCTTCGTAGATCGCATCGGCGATCGTCCGTTTATTCGCGCCCCGGGCGATTATTCTCGTACGTCTCGCGATGGCGAGACAAACGGCAGAAATGGAAGGTAATCGCGAGATTTCCTGACGCGGCGCGGCATCGCCGCGCGTCGGCACGTGGTGTGCCAGCGGGATTAGGTGCCAGTGAAATACGCCGGCGCCATTATGCACGTCCTGCGCCGTAATCGCGCAGGCTAATGACTTAACGTCGAATTATCACACCGTCGACCGAAGGCTCCGTAAATCCACTTGGCTTCGCCTGCCCGTTAATTGCCCACCTCTTACCGCCCGAATTAGTTCCGCATTAGTTGCGAATCCCGCTCGAAGTCAACCTCGCAAAGGCTTGGCGGTTTTTAATCAGCGTTCCCGGGAACTTTATGTCACATTTTGATACGCAACTTGATAAAGTCATACATAATAAGTACTCACTTATTTAAATCTAATTGTCACGAAAGTTACTTACGCCTGTGACGAAGAAATATCTCTCGCAGAGAAATGTTAGCCGCACGTGCTGTTAAACCGCGACTTGCAAGTATTAAAATTGTTATAGTTTTAATATATACACGACGCGCCAAAGTGAAGATATTGGAATTTTTATCAGTTAAGAATAAAGCAGCTTAAATTTGAATGTTTTATGCATTTTATAAATTAACGCGATTATTATAATATTTATATTAATTATGCGCTAATAACACGTACAATATGGAACAGTCTCAACTCCGTAATCTTTATTTTAAGTATAATATTTTCAGATGAAATAATCGGCATTCAGTTGAATTCATTTACAATGATGTAATCATTTTGAATGTGATAAAAATTCAATGCTTTCTTCATAGTAAACTTGTATATATAAAAATGTACATAAAAGTTTGTTTGTATTTCATTATCGTGAAAATTATTGTTTGTAAATTAGTAATATTTTTCTCTCATAATTGTTTGTTATAAAGATTGATAAATATTCCGTAAAATGAAAAATACTAAAGAATGGCAATTAATTGAAATTTTATTATATTACATTCACTCGCAATCGGAATTGATTGTACAAATCTAATAAATATTCATCGTAATACCCGAAATACTATGCAACAAGCAATCCAGTAATGGAAAGACGTTAAATTAATAACTAAAACGAATGCTCCTTAAAGGTTAAATGTCAATTCACCGAAGAAGCAATTTGATTTGTTAAATACATAACTCGAATGAACGGAACAATTATCGCACATTTCTTATTTCAAGATGACAGCTGACGGCACATGATTGACGCACGGGCTATATTTTATTCACACTGGAAATGACTTACACCTGCTATAAGTTTCTTCTTCTGCTCTCATGTTTTATTGATACACATTATAGTTTTTATCATTTAATTATTAATGTTTGATATATTAATGAGAAGATCTAAAATCTTATTTTTACAGAAATTATATTATCAAATAAAATATATTTATATTTTATATTAGAAATTCATTTTAATTATCGAAGTTTTTTAGTTAAATTAAATTCCAAAATACAAGGAGATTTTTAAGAACTCAATCAAGAACTTCATTCCTGGTTAATTTTAAATGGATAGCTATCTAATTGAGCAGATATTTAATTAAAGCTTGATTATAAAATTTTAATATTAAAAATATTAAAATGTGATAATGTTACACTTTCTAACATTTTAATTATTATAATATGATTTTATACATTACATCTTTTATTACGAAAGATTACATTAATCTTAACAAAAATAAATAAGGTACATCTAAATATTGGATATGATAATAGAACAGGATCTAACATCTAACATCTAATTTTAATTCATTTACTTATTTTTTTACATCATTTATATTTTTACATCATTTATATTTTTTACATCATTTATATTTTTATATCACATATGAATTTATTATTTATTAAATACAAAATGTAGCAAAATATATATAAGTAAATAATAAATAATTAAATAATATTTATAAAAGTTTTCATTATAATAGTAGAAAGGGTAATAAAAATGTAACTTCATGAAGCTTGTAATTATGGTGTCTTGAAAGATTCCTGCTTCTTTGCGCAATGAAATAATCATGCTAATAATACACCAAGCAATTAATTGACGAGAGTCTGCGATCGGTAAATTGTGTGATATTTGGCAGTGTAATTTTGCATTTGATTGCACCTAATTCGCAAACAGCAAACCACCGTCGACCTTGTGTATTTGCACACGGAATCGGTATTAAACTGGCAATTCCGTGCCTCACGCTCCGAAATCTCCGAAATCTCGTAGAAATACGAACGCGTACTTTAGATAAATATGCGCGCAGCTCAACACACAGACACGCGCTTTTGCACGCTCTATCTTCAGTATATGTGCGGTTCTCAGTTTTGTTTTTTCGTTACACGCACCGCTATTTCTTATGCATCTACTTTTGACATAAGTAAAGAGGAATGTGTAATGACACAAGCGCGCGGTCCAGTGCACCGAGTGCATCAGCGCTATTTACTTATGATAGAAGCACTTTTTAAAGGCAACGATAAGTTTCAAATTGGATTTCTTTTACATTTAATCTTCAAATGTATTCTCTAGTTTTTTTCATTTACGATTGCGAACGTAATTATATTAAAATTGAATATTATATATAGGCGATATAATAATAACGAAACTTGCAAATTGTATGAAAATTTCATACAATTCATGCAAGAGATGTTTCTGTCAGAAAATAACTTTTGACATTTCGTGATAGATTAAAAAATATGTATTAAAATAGTATTTTTTATTAGACTGTAAAAGTTTATCTTAAATTTCGACAAGTAAGTTTTGACGTATATAAAGCCTTTTAATTATTTTATCCTCATCTAGCTCGCCATTAAAGTTGAGTGAGGTACTTCTCGAGCGCGGTATTATTTTTGAAGCTGCTTAACTTTTGCGACTTATCATATTTTAATGCTATTATTGAGCGAAGTTTTGTTCAAATTAAGGAATAATATGTGAATTTCTCAGATTTTATTTTTTTTATTGTGTAAAGTATAATTATTATACTACAATACTACTAATAAATATATAAATGCGCCACATCGTTGAAAATATTAAAATTTTAATATAACTTTTAACATGATTCGTGGATGTACGTGCTAAGGAGATAGACAATGCGATGATAAGATATACAGTAGCCGGAAAACTCATTAGGATAGAGAGCAGCGATACGTTTATGCATTCTGTGCATCGTGATATATCGAGGGTGACTTCAAAGTACAGTTCACAATTAGCTCCGTGCTATCGCGAAATTAATTTCTTTCGCGCCCTTAACGTTGGTGCGCAACACGAGAGTGCTCACACTCCTGAGCTAATGATTTAAATAAGCCATTGGTAGCCGATAAAATCCTACTCTCCTCATGCATCTAACAGTGACATTATCAAGCTTATAAAATAAGTTTGGTACAGATTTTTACCATTTATTTTTTTTTTAGATTCGCATAAGTAGTATTGGAAACATAAAAATTTTATCGATTATTGATATCCATACAAATAGTGTTAGAAATATGAAAATTTGAATATAATAATTGTTCAAAAATGTATTTTACGATTTTATATAAGATTTAAATATAAAAAATCAATTTCTGCATAAATTTCTTCCTTTATACGCATATTGTAGAACGAAAATTAGCTGGATAGGTATAAACAACGCGGTATACACGAGAGAATTGAAGTCTTACTCTCTTCCATAAACTCGCAGGGGAGTTAGCCTCACAGTGAACCAACGGGGGGTTAAGCGAAACGTTTTCTCGCGGCAAGAATGGAATTGTTAAACAGCGTTTCCGTGCTTGCATGTGCATGTCCCTTAGTGAGAATGCAGGCTAGACACCTGCGAGGTGAT